GCCAAACGTTCACCTACTCTTCGGTACACACGCTGCCGGCCGTCGTTCCTGAAGATGCAAAATCTGCTTTCGTCAGAAAACATGACACGTGCCCAGTTCCACCGTTGCCACCGTCCAAGTCGCCTGGCCCATATCCGTCTGTTGAGTCGGTGTTGAGGTGTCAGGAACGCTCCGCGGTAGGGGCGACGTGCTCAGATACCAAGTGCCCGCAGTCTCCTGTACACGGTTTGTCGACTTATCACGTGTCCCAGTGCCGTCCGTGCCGTTAACGTCGCCGTTACGAAGCGGTTCCGAAGGTGAAGTACCCGGATGTGGCGGTCTTCAATAGGCGTAGTCACCCGTGGTCTCCCGGTTCTCGGCCTGTCTGCTGTCCGACCTGTTTGACGCAACCGCTGCATTAACCTGGTGACGGTAATGCGCGCGCATCCTAACCTTCTGGCGACGTCGCAGTGCGTAGCTCCCTGTTGGAGCATTCCTACGGCTCTCTCTCTCTCTCTCAATCGCTGTCAAACGTGGCATTTCTTTTGTGTGCTTTTTGTTGCTGTGATCCCAACGTGTCGGGTCAGCAGTTTTATACAGAAGATATGCACGTGCATTTCGTGTTACGGGACGGAACGTCATTTGGGCAAAATGCACGCTTTTTTCTCAATTAATCAAATGTTCCCGGTTTTATCGACCGAATACGTTTGGTTTGGAACGTAGGATACGAAAAAGTACCTTTTCAGACGAAAATTAACTCTTCATAATAAAATATTTAGAAAAATGTGTGGTATCGTTTCTTTTGGACATTAGTTTATTAGAGAGCTCCGCGAACGGAAACTAGATTGACTCCAGTCAGTGAATCTATTTTCTACAGATACAAGAGTTACCTGTGATTAAAGTACACACAACCCACATAGCATTACAATATACATTTTATTAATTAGTATCATTCTTCCGGATGCTCCCGGACGCTGCTAGACGTTTCAGGACGCTCCAGGATGTTATTTAGTGGGACCGATCTTCGTCAATAAGTGTAGTCCTCCGAGGACGCCGTTTTGGTGTATTTAGGGGACGCAACTCTACCAGTCGTACCCTCTTATGTGTTGATTTTAATAAAATGAAACGTACACTTTAATGTAGTCTGTCATACAGACCCTGAAATAAATATATACAATACAGGCCATGCAAGTCTATAATGTTTGACAAGTCTAGATTACTGCAGTATCAGCATGTCTCTAAATTTCACATTTTGTTTTTCGAAATTGTTAAATGTTTTCGTTTATAAGGTGGGCATTCATGCCCTTATCTTCTACATGTTTCTGGACCCGTGAAGATTCTGGTTAGAATAGGTTTTCAGCAACCCATGCATGCCGTAAAAGGCGACTATGCTTGTAAGAGGCGACTAACGGGATCGGGTGGTCAGGCTCCCTGACTTGGTTGATGCATGTCATCGTATCCCAGTTGCGAAGATCGATGCTCATGACGTCAATCACTGGATTGTCTGGTCCAGAAGCGATTATTTACAGACCGCCGTCATATAGCTGGAATATTGCTGAGTGCGGCGTTAAACAACAAACAAACAAACAAAACATCTGTCTGGGGACTGTTCGCACAGTATCGTAATATAACATGTCATTTCAAAGCCAATTAACAGTACAAATTGATGAATTTGATAGGACGCGCACCTATTGAAGTGTATAATTAGCAACGTTCCCATGTCTGACAAGCGGTCATTTCTGACTTTTCGCCTGTGGCTGAGGATTATTTATAAAGTATTTACATTTTAATAGATTATCTAATGGCAAGCTCGTCAAATGTCAAACAGATCAACTAGCCCCAGGAAACCCCACAGCTCGGTACATTACTTTTTTCAATCAATTAAATGTCAATGCGTCGATCAGGACATTCACACGATACGCGCATCGTGAATGTCACATTCGTGTGCGTGTCACACAGTGAAGATCCCGGTTAGAATTGGTCTTCAGGGTGTCCTTTCAGGAAAGCCATGCTTGTCGTTAGAGGCGAATATTTGTGTCGTAACAGCCGACAAACGGGATCGGGTGGTTATGCTCGCTGACTTGGTTGATGCAATGCAGCATGTCATCGTATCCCAATTACGTAGATCGGTGCTCATGATGTCAATCACTGGATTGTCTGGTCTAGACTCGATTATTTACAGACCGCCGCCATGTAACTGGAGTATTGCTGAGTGCTGCGTTAAACAACAAACAAACAAATCATATGCGTGTTGTCCATAATAGAAACCGAATCGATCCCAACTAAAGAATTTTGTGTAAACGTTATAAAGGAGAAACAGACATTTTGCTCACAACATATATCCATTGTAAATGAGGGCTGTAACCCTTAGGTTATGTCCACTCATAAGACCGCCTCCGTGGTCTAGTGGTAGAGCGTCCGCGCGGAGAGGGGGAGACCCGGGGTTCGATCCCCGGCCGCGTCATACCAAAAGACGTTAAAAGATGGTACTTGTTGTTACCCTGTCTGGCGCTCGGCATTAAGGGGCTAAAACAAGGACTGGTCGGCTCGGAGTCAGTATACAGTGTCTGAGTTGGATATTCATGTTAAACTGCGGCATGGTATCTCAGTGAGCTAGCACTATAAATCGGCATCAGTCCGGACTAGTACAAGCCACACAAACACATACACGTACATGCACCTCGCTATATAAGTGCAATAACCTTGGACGCGACATTAAACCCCATTTCACCTCACCCAATATATTTGCTTCTAGATATATGAAATTGTTGTATTTTTCCCTGTAATTAACATTGAATAATTATATCTGGTGAGTAATGAAATGCACGGTGATATATATCGCTGCAGGCTGGCATGCAGATGATGACCTTACGTGTAAGCGCTCCTTAAATCTCAAAACCACCGGTTAGGTGTCAGAGAGATCCATTTACTGGCGATGTATTTAGCTACTAATCAATCTTCGGAGATGTAGAGGAGCTCTAGGCTCTGGATTATGTGGTATAAGTGCATCATGTTCTGTCTGTACACCTATACAACTATGGCAGTGTCTCGCTGATCTCTGAACATGAACGAGTGAGTGAGTCCGTTGGGTTTAATGCCGCTTTTAACAGTTTTCCAATTATATACCATGTCATCTTCATGTGGGAAGAAAGCCCGAAGTGATGCAGGTCTCAGACGTTTACCACTTCGGTGAAACCCACGAGCAAGGTTATGGTGCTGACAAACCTAGAAACATCATGGGAGCGAACCGGGATTCGAACCAACGATCATAGGTTTCTGGCGTGCCCAAGGGACGCAACTCTGCACAGCAAGTTGCGGCGCATGACATTACTGAGCCACCCCTACCACCGAATATAAACAATGGGAAAGATTGAAAACTGTGCCAAGTTAAACAACTTAGAATTGTCTCTGTCTGGGATGACTTTTACAAGTGAGTAGGGTTTATGACGCTTCAGCAATATTCCACCAATATCACGTCGGGGACACCAGAAGCATATGACGTTTATTGTACCCATGTGGGGAATCGAATCCGGCCTTCGGCGCGACAATCGACTGCTCTAACATGTTCTACCCCATTTTTCTATTGCATTGGAACGGTATCGGCCGATGGATCAATCTTTTTAAAATTGAACAAACTTAGCGGTAGCGAGAACCAAGATCTCATTTTAGTGAGATTGCCGATAGTATTGCACTCACCCATGACCTTTGTGATTACAAGCTGTCTGACAAGTGGGGCGACACCCTTTAACTAGGCTACCTAATCATACCTATTTTTACTAAGTTCTATATAATATAACTTAGTAAAAAATATAGGTGTGGTTTAACTATACACATATATATATCTTAATAACCGATGTTTTTTAAGTAGAATCTGAACAATCATACACGTGTTTTAAAAAGAAAAAAAAAGAACCATGCATCTGATTCCGAATAGTATTTTAATAGGTCTTCAGCAACCCATGCTTGCCGTAAAAGGTGACTATGCTTGTCTTAAAAGGCGACTAACGGGATCGGGTGGTCAGGCTCTCTGCCTTGGTTGATGCATGTCATCGACCCCAATTGCGTGGATCGATGCTTATAATGTCAATCACTGGATTGTCTGGTCCAGACTCGATTATTTACTGACCGCCGTCATATAGCTGGAATATTGCTGAGTGCGGCGTTAAACAACAAACAATAAAACAAACCAAGTATTTTAATAAACTTAATTTCGTACATGGCAGCAGAGACCCTCTATATCTGATGCCAGGGATTGTTTGCGATAAAAAGGAAGAAGAAGGAAACAGATTGTCCGTAACACCAGTTTCAAGATATACATATTAAATGATTCTCTTGATTCCGGGGTAGAATAGGTCTTCAGCAACCCACGCTTGCCGTAAACGGTGACTATGCTTGTCGTAAAAGGCGACTAACGGGATCGGGTGGTCAGGCTCGCTGACTTGGTTGATGCATGTCATCGATCCCAATTGCATGGATCGATGCTCATGATATTAATCACTGGATTGTCTGGTCCTGACTCGATTATTTACACAATTTGTCGAATGACGTCAACAATCTTCAGCTCTGACGTCATTTCTAGTGTGACATATTACTCTCATACAAGCGCAAACATATCGGGGTTAATAAAAATCATATGTACCCTAGGGTCATATTACGTCACGAGGCAACAGTGTATTGTTTCCGCCATCCGGACGATTCTTATTGTGACGTGAAATACCAGAATTTAGACACTCGTATCGTAAACATTATATGACATGAATACGAATATAATATATATTAAAACCATGGATCTCCTGATGCCATGGAAATCAGTGAAACAGCGGGTAACTGACAAACGTATGGTCGAATAAAAGATATATACTTTAGTTTTGTAGATTATCACAACCTTGATCAGACATGCTATTATCTTCCCATCATCATCAGCCTCTGATTAAAAAACGTCGTATCGCCTGCGTGAACCCTGAAGGTCAAGAAATCACGTGACAAGAATAACATATCACATGACCGAACATGCTTCAGTAATGAAAATGGCGACGATACGCGGCGAAGTACTGCTGTCAAGCGAGTTCGGACTTTACCCAAAGAAACGAAATGTGTACAAAGTCTCACTGAGTCGCACAGGGATTTTCTACAGCCTTCTAACAGACAAAGAAGGTGCAAGTGAAGTAAAAGTCGTTCATTTGAGCGATGTAATCGGCTGCCGGTGCCAAAGATCGCTTGGTTGTGCATCGGCTTTCATCACTATTTTCTCCTACCCGTTCAAACAAAAAGTGTTCAGCTCCAAATCTACGCGGAAGAGAGTACCCGTCATCTTTGAGGTGCAGAAGTTTTCCTCCTTCGATGACAATCTCAAACTTGCAGAAAAATGGCGGAATGTCATCAACTGTTTGTCACGGAGCATTCCCTTGAATGGCGAAGGTAAGTCGACCAATGTCAATAGTAGGTCTATATCTCCCACATTATGAATATGATTGATAACGATAACTTCACTATACGTCACCTATCACGCATATACAGATCACATTCATAAATAACACACTGTCAACTTGCAAATAAGATATGGATAGTTAATATTCGTAAACCAAGTAATTTCATTATGTATACAATATTAACATGATTAAGCATGTTGCAGATATGAACATTGTTATGAATATTAGTTGTTAATTAAAATGAATAATATAAGGTTATGCCTTCAATTTTAGATCTATGTAGTGCACATTACTGTTTTAAACATTTGCTTCAGGAAGAATTGTTGTTGACTGATAATTTGACTCATAAGTTAACAGTTATAGGGATATTTAGCCACTTGTAATCCCAGCAGAACACCTTGCTCATATTAGGCTATGGGTATCTATCTGGCAAGTGCAAAAATTCTTAGTTTTAGTGCTACCGTATTTGACATAATAAGCGCCCCGCTCCAACCACGAAAATGTACAATCTTTCAACTCTGTTGTTTTTCACCAAAATAATATTCTAATAAGAGCCCCCATTTCTAATTTTGAGAGCGCCCTGGGCGCTTATTATGTCGAATACAGTAAGTCAAATATTCTTGCATTGTATTTGGACAAGTGCTGAGAAACAAAGTTTATTACTTAGAGATGTAACTATGCACAGGTTCAGATTACAACCTGGGTCGTCTCATTTTTAGAGCTTCACTATGCATGGGTTGTCTAACACATACATGAATGGTTTCTCCATGGCTCAGTGTAATCCGTGTAGTCACAGGCCCATATAATCTGTTTGTCATCCCTGACTATACCTGGGTTATCTAATAGCTACTGTTTACTTGTTTTAAAAAATTAGACGAAGCGGGTTGATAACCAGGTTAATTGCAAGAGCCTAGTAATTAAGTCAGAAGCAGATAGCATGTTTATTGGGGAACTGAAATTGATAAGGATGTTAAATTATTTACAGTGTTTGTCCAGTCATCAGCAATAAACCAGAACAACTGGAGTGACATTTAGTCACTCAGACATTGCTTAAAGATTGCGATTTGAAGAAAGTAAATTTAATGGGGATTTAGTATTCAAAGTATTAACCGAATAAAGTCAATAAGCTCCAAGATATTCTGCTAACTATGGGTGGTAAATAGTTAGGGAGTAAGGTGTTTGTGTGATGATGGAGATAGTTAATGTTATAATAATATTACCAATGACAATCTTTTATTATTTCTTTAAACACCCATAAAACAATTGCATTTACTTATATAATGTACACATATGCACTGGTTATAACTTATTGTTCCATATTCCAATGGAACTTAAACACAAATTTTGCAAGCATAAAAATTGTTTCTTATTATTTAATAAACAAGTGGATCTTATATTATTAGAATTCATCATACTAGCATGAATAGAGGGAAAATGTTAAGAGCATATACCATATTCAACGTAATAAGCGCCAAAGGCGCTCTCAAAATTAGAAATAGGGGGCGCTTATTAGAATATTATTTTGAGTTGAAAGATCGTATATTTCGTGGTTTGTGCTAACAGCCTGAAATGTTTACATACGACAGATATATTTTTCAAGAACTAAGGGTGATATAATACATGAGTGCGTATTATACACGAATAAATAAGTCTTGTGTTACATTGATCAATCAGAAGGGGTGCTGATTGGGATTGATCACTAGCCAATATATTAGCAAATATCACTGTGGGCGCTTATTAGAGCGGGGCGCTTATTACATCGAATACAGTATATCATTATAATGGCGATGGAGCAAGAGTAAATGTTTTTCATCTTCTAAAACTGAGCACTCACTTAAGAGAAGATTCTTAACTGATCCTAAGTTTCTGAATGCCTAATGCGTTTGACTCTTATACTTATACTATATAGTTAATTACTTCTATGTCATGTATAGTCACTCTTTTATAATCACTTTTCTAATATAATATACAACAAAGTATTACAAACTCTTTCTATATTTTTGAACTTATCACATGCACACTATGCGTCTCTTCTTTCTTCTTTCATCCTATTTTATGGGGGGGCATGGGTGGCCCAGTCGTCTAAGGCGCCGCGATTCGCTGTGCAGAGTTGAGTCCCTTGGGCTCGCCAGAAACTTATGATTGTGGGTTTGAATCCCGGTTCGCTTCCATGATGTTTCTAGGTTTGTCAGCACCATACCCGTGCTCGTGGGTTTCACCGAAGTGGTAAACGTCTGAGACCTACATCACTTCGGGTTTTCATCCAACATAAAGTTGACACGCGGTGATATAACTGGAATACTGTCAAAAGCGGCGATAAACCCAACTCACTCACTCACCCACTTGCGTGGATCGATGCTTATGATATCAATCACAGGATTGTCTGGTCCAGACTCGATTATTTACAGACTGCCATCATATAGCTAGAATATTGCTGAGTGCAGCGTTATAGAACAAACAAACAAACAAACATTTTTTCACTGTCTCTAATCGGTATTTATGACTGAATTCTGCTTGCTAATAGCAAACCTAGATTTAGTGAAGAGTTCTGAAGAAGTGGGATTGAGTAATATATATTTCTGTGTTTAAACAGTTCACCAGAGCTTGGTTGACTAAATGATAGATTAGTCCATGTAGGACTGTCACTCACCGTATTTACTCAGAATGTAAAGTGTGTATAAATATGATCAATGGTGTTAGCTTACCACTAATTTTACATCGTTATAGGCTTTGCCATGGAAATTGGTTTCAGGAAATACATGTTAAACCATTAATATGTTGGCGTTGCACTTATCTTCTTGCTATTGATTCCGAGCCAGGAATTGACAGGCCATTCTGAAAGTGCATTTTAAACTAGTAAAACTGATGCAACTATAGGTCATTATACAAAATTGTAGAGCCATTGTATATAAACTGTAACATGGCATAAGTCAGAGAAATCACTCGAATCTGTTGATTCCGAAGGATTTTATTTCCGGAATTTGGGGCATGGGTGGCCCAGTGGTCTGAGGCGCAGAAATAGCAAGGCAGACCCATGAGATGGGATCGAATCATGGTTTGCCCCGATTATGTTTCTAGGTTTGTCAGCACTGTGCTTGTGGGTTTCAACAAAGTGGGAAATGTCTAAGACCTGAATCAGTTTGAACTTTCCTCCCACATCAATCTGACAGACTGTAATGTGACCCAACTCACTCACACACTCACTCCTTACCATGTGCTTAATGACTTTATTTACTGGTCAAATCCAGTTATCATACCTCCATAACAGAATAATGAGATCTGATTGGTCCACGTGATCTTGATAAAATACAGTGTAACCCGTCTTGGAGGGAAATAAATCTCTTATATCCCTTCACGAGCAATGCAGGCTGCACGTGGATATCTGAGAGGCAGAAATAATCCCTTATACCCCGCTTCGATACAAAAAGCTGCACGCTTTTCCCAAGTCAATGGAGTCACGTGACATAGCACAAGTTAACCTCATCTCAATCGGACAGCTGTTTTCTATCAATTTTAAATTTGTGTTAAATCTTTTACAATGTCACATTAAAACATGTCGGTGAAATAAAGTTGTAGCAGGATCACGAGGGGTACATGGTGTTTTATGTGTCCCGCGTTAAGTTTCATAAAGCCTAACAAACTATCAAAACGAATAAATTTGTTGCAGCAGGATCACGAGGGGTACATGGGGTTTTATGCTTCCGGCTCGTGGTATAAAACGAGGGACGCATAAAACCCCATGTACCCCTCGTGATCCTCGAGAGGTATAAAACCTAACGAGGGACGCATAAAACCCCATGTACCCCTCGTGATCCTCGAGTGGTATAAAACCTAACGAGGGACGCATAAAACCCCATGTACCCCTCGTGATCCTCGAGTGGTATAAAACCTAACGAGGGATGCATAAAACCCCATGTACCCCTTGTGATCCTCGGGTGGTATAAAACCTATCGAGGGACACATAAAACCCCATGTACCCCTCGTGATCCTCGAGTGGTATAAAACCAAACGAGGGACGCATAAAACCCCATGTACCCCTCGTGATCCTGCAACAACTTATATTATCACATCATGAAGTCTACTTCAGGGAATAATGCACAAAATGCTACATTTCTCTTGCAACTTGGACTCATGTGCAACATGTGACACTCTTGGGACATCTACAACAGACTCAAGTCACCGGAAACAGCATTTTATAGAAATATTTAAGAAGAATGTCATATCCATGGTAACATACTCAATAGAAAACTGAAAGAGCGAGTAACATGTCAAATGGCAGTGTAACATGTTTAATAAAAAAATGACCAATCCTATGGACCGTAAATAGCAGAAGATCTTTATGGCAGTTTGGCAATAACTGTTGGGTGTTATTATCATACCTTTAGCTGTGTGAACACTAACACATCTATCAACATAACCATTCGTGTGAAATTTGATCTTAGCTTTTCATGTTCGTGATGATATCATGAAATTCTTTGACCACATCAAGAATTTGGATATTACCATTATCTTTATGTGTAGCCATTAGACTCTTTCTTGCTTGTGATATCTCTCGTAAAATCTAGAATTTCTCAGCTTGATGTTTTGTAGTTTTGATATTTTGTCTTGAACATCAAGAAGGACAAATATAAACAAAATTGTGCAAAAATACACTTCTTATTATCCCCAAGTACTGTGTTTTCGTTTTTAGCCACTTGTCTGTAGTCCCAGTCTATTACAGAATTTCTTTCAGTCTAAGTAAGCTCAGCTGACAACAGTCCACATAAGTACAGCCGCGATATAAGTGGAATACTGTTAAAAGCGGCGTTAAACCCAACTCACTCACTCACTCACTCACTCACATAAGTACACTGAAATCTACTGACAGTGATGCCAGTCTGTGACTTTGGGCACTAGTCTGTTTCAAGCTCGAGCTACCCGTGAAGATCTGGGGTAGAATAGGTCTTCAGCAACCCATGCTTGCCATAAAAATGACTATGCTTGTCGTAA